TCCAATAAAAGGTTTAGCGGGAAGAGCTGTCACGCTTACAGTTTTGAAGATAACAAACAATATTCAAGATAAAAAAGATGTAAAATAAACAGCACCACAAAACTGCTAACTCTGATTTCTAAACAAAAATTTAGTTCGACCATCAAAACTATAGAAGTATAACACCCCGAAAATACCAACAACATTCAAAATTAAAGCTGGAATATATGTTATAGAACTATCTGCTCTAGATATGCCAAACTTAAACTCGATAGCTCCATTTTTAGCAAAGTTATGGCAAAAAAAAAACACTACTCAAAATGTATGTATTACGTAAAATTTTCAAACTCAATTTTTAGCCGTCACAGAACACACAGAGCAAGCCAAAGACCACCATTGGATTTCCCGTGATGAGCTGCATCGAATAGATACCCCTTTTATGCAAAATATAAACTCTGAAATTTAACCTTTTTTGACCTGACCTTGACCTGACCTCCACCAGAACGCAATCTAAAACGGCCCCAATGGCCGTCTAGCCCACACCATTGAATTTTAAATGTAAAATTGACCATAAAACATGTATCACGTGACCCTAGCAATTAGCATAGTTGGGTTCATATTGTGACCCTTAGTGACCTGACCTCTGTGACCTGACCTGGCATCAGTGACCTCTTTAGGCAACATATGTATTGGGCAACCACGCTCCATCGATTTTTTCGATAGCATGCCTTTTATTTGATGCGTTAACTGACTGTAACGCATTCCTTAGACTAAATCGGTGAAAAAATGCAACATTTGACCTGACCTGTGACATCATGGTTTGCACCTAGGTCAACGAAACCTGGTTACAAGGTAGTTCCCTGGTGGGGCTATCGAACGTTCTTCGAATTTTCAAAATCAGTCGGTAACTTTCCGAGATCTCAGGTGGAGGACGAAACGGCTGCACCACCCCATCAGGTGGTAGGGTCCGCCAATAACACAACGGGGCGCGAATTATTTACTGATTCATAATTTCATACAGTGTCATCTATTTTGAGAACACCTTTCTCACGCCCTGACATGGTCCTCTCGTAATAGATCGAGATGAGGAGAGTGTTTTCACGCCTCCTTATGCACGGCTCATTGTCATTGAGCTATCAACTGTCAGCGGTTTTCGGACAATGAAGGAAGGCTTTTGGTCGTTTTTAGGTAAGGTCTTGGGTCAGATCATTTCAGTGGCGGATCCAGAGGGGGGCATGGGGGCCATTCTCCCCCTTGGGTCTCCCGGGGCCCATCACGGAGTTTTTTTTTAATTCATCACGGAGGTCACCGACGGGAGCTTTAACCCAGAGGTCTCCTAAGGGGGCACCATCCAGGTCTATCGGAATAGGGTACCGTTTTCGGGGTCTCCCGGAGGCCCATTTCTGTCCCTCGCCTCGGTTTTTTTTAGTTAAGTTTAGTTTTCTAATTTTTAGTTTAATATTGTCCATTTATTTCCATCCCGAGGTTCGCGGGGCACCATCTCGAGTTCTCAGCTGGCACTATCCCGAGTTCTCCGCGAGCACCATCCCAAGGTCGGAGAGGGCACCATCTTGAGGGTCCGGGGCACCATCCCGAGGTCTCCGGCGGCACCATCGCGAGGTCTGGGGGCACCATCTCGAAGTCTCCGGGGGCACCATTCCAAGTTTCCAGCGGCACTTTTCCGAAATCCGAGGTCTGAAGGAGCACTCTCCCCGGGTCTGAGGGGGCACCATCTCGAAGTCTCAGGGGCACCATCCCAAGGTCTCAGGGGCACCATCCCGAGGTCTCAGGGGCACCATCCTGAGGTCTCACGGGCCGTTTGATCCGCGCCGTCCTGGGGGGAGTTTTTACGCCCCCCCCCCTAGGTTTTCGCGAATATAAACGGCGACGCGTAGCGCCGCTGTTTTAGATACACCCGCTCCGACATCTTTTTCGCACATGCTATGAAAATTTCAGATCCCGGTCATTCAAGGTCAGGTCACCAGGTAACGTTAAGTGACCTTACCTCAGAAAAAAGTTAGAAAGCTCGCTGTGGCTACACCGACTGAGCGATCACTTTTAAACTTTCAGTTGCTTAGGGTAACAGTATGTATAAAATGGATATCTCGGATTTTTTTCTATATCTGTGAGTTGTGACCTAAGGTCAGTTCAATTTTACGACTGCTCCATATAAATCAATGGGAGAAAATTGAAATGAGCCTCTTTTGGCCGAATGTCGTTCTACACCCTCTCAAACATCGGTTCATATGTAAACATGACACTCTGAATCGGGAAATTGCACCTGTGCCCCCTTTGTGTGCCCCTGAGGTCATCTCAGGTCATGAAAGGTCTTCAGCAGTTTTTTTTTTACTATAACTTTTGATTTGACAGAGACGTGCTAGAGCGGTGAAAACACGGGGGCTAAACCGTTGATCTGAGGTCAAATTTGAAGTCAATCAGAGCGGTGCCCTCTGGGGGCTAAACCGTTGATCTGAGGTCAAATTTGAGGATATGTTGGCGAAAGAGCGTTAAAAGAGCTATCGAATGCGCCTTTCCACGGCGCTGTATAGCTCTATTGGTTCCAGAGTTAGTCGTCGGGTGTTTAAAATCGTTGAAATCGACAAAATTTGACCTTTGATGAACTCTGGTGACCGGACCTTTGCCCTGACCTTAAAATGACCGAGTGTTTTCCTTCTTATTTTTGACGCTCTTTCGATTGCCGCTTACCGCGTGTCGCAACGTGGCCCAGGAGCTGAGTTAGACGGAGGGGCGTGAAACACCCTCAGTGAAACACCCTCAGCACTCGACGGAAAGTTCATGCCATCAACACGGCTCGGGTGAATTGTTATGTTAGCTAGCTCCGGTTGTAAGCTGTGGAGTCGTGGAGCTGATCTTGAAGGAACTGGGCCTAACATTTTCATAGCAAACGTAAAAAATGTTTAATAGGTGATGCAAAAAATAGCATCTCTTTTATGAAATATTTGCGAAACCCTCAACATCATCCCCATTAGTGCCGAGCTGCCAACGACGACCATAAAAACGTCCCCATCCCGTCAGCGTTTGTTTATCATAAGGATGCTAAGATTTAATTTCCAATCCGAAGCTGAAATGATGGAAAGCAAATTTACATTTTACATACGAAACAAGCTGACACATTTAAATATTTTCTCTCTCGCTCCCCTCACTGATTTACCCATTACCCTCTCTCTCATTTTACCCTCCCTGGTTTTCCTTTTCTGTCTCTGTTTTCTCTCCTCCCATCCTTATCCCTTCCCTCCAGTCTTTCTTCTTTCTCTCTCTCTCTCTCTCTCTCTCTCTCTCTCTCTCTCTCTCTCTCTCTCTCTCTCTCTCTCTCTCTCTCTCTCTCTCTCTCTCTCTCTCTCTCTCTCTCTCTCTCTCTCTCTCTCTCCCTCTATCTCTCTCCCTTTCTCCTTCTCTCTCCCTCTCTCTCCCTCTCTCCCTCCCTCTCTCGCTCTCCCTCCCTCTCTCGCTCTCCCTCTCTCTCTCTCTCCCTCTCCCTCTCTCTCCCTCTCCCTCTCTCTCCTCTATCTCTTTCTCTCTCTCTCTTTTCTCACAATATTCTCGACTGCCACAGCGCTGTAGAACTTGTTTCCAGACAGGTCCAGGCGCTCCCCACTCCGCAGGCCCCAGCCCACACGGCCCAACCGCCCAAACACCCTCCGGCGGATGACCTCTGACCTCGGCGACCTGACCCCAGCCGACCGATCGCGTCCCTCTCCACGCCTCCGCCCCGCTTTCCCCACTACAACTGCGTAGTAATTGTAGCGTGTGCAAAGGTCACGTGACATTATTTACTTCTGCGGTTTGTTCGGCTGACAAGAGATGGCACTAGTGGTCTGTGGATCAGAGGCGGGGCTAGGTTCTACGACTTCTTGGGGCAACTTTAGGGCGGAAAAGATGTTTTTTGGCTCCTCATCCCAAAATGCTTCGAACATACAAAAACAAGTTAGATATTCGAAAATCGGAGGACCAAACCGATCGTTTGACGTATCTTACTCGACTGAGAATTGATCGGTCTTCAAACTACTGAGCAAAAACGAGGTGATTAGTAGCAAGTGCTGGTGACTGTACCATCGACTTCTTCGTCGACTCTTACTCCGTCTGATCTGACGGCTGACCCCCACGCGGTTATATATGTCCCCGGCCAACTGAATGGCTATAAATCCCCTAGGGCTAGCACGTAACAGTGGTTGGAGGAGCTGGTGGGGAGGGGGAGGCGCGAGGTCAATCGATAAGCTCGGGTGTCCAGTTCTTTCCATGGGCGTAATGTTTTGAGCCAGATTTCCTTTCTAGGGGAGCCATTAGCCTCTTGCATTAGCCCTACCAATGAAGCATGGTTATAGGTCACGCCCCTCCTTGCGGCCTCAGACCCAGTGCATTCAGGAATGCGGGAGAGGAACGGTCATAGGACGTCCTCTGGCCGTCCGACCCAGGGGCCCCATGGGCCAGGGCGGTCCGACCGTGCAGCAGCATCGATAGAATGTGGTGCTAAATAGAAACAGTCGTGATTGAGAGTCAGTCTACATTTATGTGTTTGGCCGTTGGACCTCCGCCAGTCCGCCATGCATGATATGATATGACACGTCACAAGATGGTCCTGGGTTCAGCAGATAGCCTCTCTTGGGAGTTGAGCTAGGCCGGCCTGTTTACCGAATCGCGCAACGTAGAACATCACGAGCGACATCTATGAAAACATGCCCGACAAATAGTTCGACCACTTCACCAATAGGTGACGCTACTTACCCGCGCCGCCACTCCGAAGTCCTCCAATTGGATCGAGTGACCCCAGATATCCCCATGAATCTAAAAGCTTGTAGGTGAGATGAGTCATTAACACTATAAACCGAATGTTCTCTGCTTTGAATACCTGCGGGTATTTTACCTGTGAGAGTGAATGACCAAGGCTTAGGGGGCGAATTCGGGCACAAAAATTGAATTGACGAAGAATACCTTTACCCACTAAGTAACATTCAAAACACACAATAGTTACCATTCGTATGAACCACAGTTCAAGTTCTCACCTTGTTCAGCCGTCTTCCCATCCAATATATTATGACTTGCTCGAATCTGCGTTATTTTAACAATTTTTCCGCAAGGGTTTTCCACCATTTTCCGCCCCGCTTTTCAACAACATGCTGTTGATTAGTATACATTTTTGACGCAGCTATGACAATCGTAATTAGTGCCTATTAAAATGAAAACCGATATCAATGATGTTTATTAATCTGAAATAAGAAAAAGTACTTTTATTTATAAAGTAACATATATTTTTCATACTAATAACTCTTTTGAACTAATATTTTATTCATGAATAAGGAAATTTACGATTTTTATGTCCAAAAGTGTCACTTTATTAGAAATTGACGTCATCAACGCAGCAATTGTTTTCAAATATGAAATAATCTTTCATAGAACCTGGGCAAAAGCGAACAAAACACAGAAAGCACTTCTTCCGCCGCGCAGGAGCTTGGGGTCAGGGTGGAGCGTGGAGGATATGTTTGTTGTTTGCGTAGAAAACGAGAATGAAGTTAAAGGGTCCTTTATTTTCTAGTCGCTTGGACCTACGTTTTACATCTTACCTTTAGCTTCTTGGATTTTAAGTGATATTTTGAAGATACGGTGGATAAACATTAAAACCGCAATCACTTCAGGTTTTATTTTTAACACATGCAAGGTAAGGATTTTAAAGCTTTTAACATGATTTTGTTGCCCGTATTATCTACTCCTGATGATGTTATATTTTGTAATTAACTTCGCTCAGACATCTTACCTTAAAAGCCTAAACTTTACTAACATGAAATCATGTCTATTCTTGAGCCCGAATGGAGTAAAAATCTATGGCAGGCAGGGCGGTGTTCAGGTCCGCGCAAAATATTTTGCAGAGTGTGAAGTCACACATGCGATGACTTCAGCCGCCTGGCTTCGCCCCTCTTGGTCGGCCCGCAAAGCCGAGGGCCACGCGACGGGGCGAACCGTGGTGCGGATGGACTGGTGGGTTTCGTTCAATAACTGAGTAAAATGCGTTCAAATGTGGATAATAGCAATGTGCCACTGAAAAGAAAGATAATGACATAAAAAAACACCATACTAACCACTTACAACAACAAGAAATATAGGAGGGTAAACTTTAAGAGCAGTATAAAACTCACAAGCAAGTTACTGAGTTTGTCATAAACTATTATATCGTAAATGTTCGTTCATTCCAAACCGGTTTCGTTTCATACAAGAAACATCATCAGTGGTACACTTCACAAGTGTCAGTGGTAACGGACAAACAGCACAATAATGCATACACACATATATAGAGTTGGTGCACACGCTAAACACATGTGGTCCTACAGGATGCGATCGATAAAAGGTCAATAACATGAAGAGCTACCCAATGTAAGCAAAGTTACCTGACAACAGGCAGGGGATATGCCGATGTTGTGCCATTAAGCCTTGGCTTCAGTTGATGGATGAAAAGTGATTCCAAGATCCTGAGAGAATGTGATGGCTCGCTGCCTAAAATGGTGAAATCGTTGAAGGAGACAGGGGTGTCACATGTGTGACTGTGATCGCGAATGGACGATTGTTTTGGATTGTTAGGATATTACCAGTGCGGTCAGAAATGCCCTTATGTTCACATACCCTGGTGTACAAGCATACATAGGTGGAACCTATGTACGATTCCTCGCACGAGGAACAACGAAACTTGTACACTACACCAGAGCGGATGCACATAGGGACATTGTCTTTAAATTTAAAGAGACTTCCAATGGTAAATCTATTCCTGAGAACTATTTTGGGGCTTAGGTATGGGTAAAACTTCTTAAACATCTCAGTTAGCTCATTTTGCATATTGATCGAACCCTTACCTAGATATGGGAGGACAAAAAAAAGTTGGAGAAGTATTTTGTATAGCTGAATTGCTGAGTGCCATGGCGGAACTAGCCGAGTCAGTGACGATGAGACATCGGTTGTAGCTGCGACGTCGGACGTGTTTTAAAACCTGATAAATGGCGTACAGTTTGGAGGTAAAAACTGATGCATGTCCGGCCGCCTGAACCGTCTGGTGGTCGTCAGACTCACAAAAGCACACCCAACTCCATCGTCACCTTTTGACCTATCGGTGAAGAACAGTCTGTGCTCTGTGTAGCGTGCAAGGCGTTGAAGCGCGTGCTACCTGAACTCCTCCGCTGGTCAGGCAGGATACTGGATTTCGAACATTGAAGGAGCTCCCTCCAGATACCAAGAGAGCATTATCGTGTGCCGGAGCTCTACACTGCTGATCCGCCGCATGGAAAGTCTGTCTAGTGTCTATGTCTACGAAAATAGGACTATCTGAATAAGGAAAAGGCGACGTTTTGAACTGTTTCCAATACCATGACCTCAGGTGATCTTGGTGAGCATAATAGGTAAACTTGACAGTTTTGTGTATTGCAGGCGTTCTACATGTAACTGAGGAACTGTTAGGCCGATCGAGACAAAAAACACCAACCATATGTGATTTCCTCAGTCATCGTGAATAAGATGACCTCAGGTGACCTTGTCGACATTGGGAGGTCAACTTCATGTTTTATCACCTGTTTCGACCATTCCATAACTCAGGAACACTGAATTATCGAAGCTTGGTGCTCCAGCTGATGGTCTATGATCTCAAGCCGATGTTATGCATGTTGAGAGATATTCCTGATGGTGATGTGTCCTGGAATTGAATGGCATAACACAGCATTGCTATTCAAGGGACCTGGGATCTATCAGACCAAGACGCATTCCATAGTTCCAGCAAAATCACGTAGAGTATATAAAATATTGCTAGTTTTGTCTAGGATGGATCCAGGCCGCGAAGTTAATGTGAGATAATTTGTGTCAATTTCTTGTATCGTACTGGTCAAAGTAATGTAACACATCTTGATCAAATAACTTAAAAAGATTTTAAAATATAAGTGTTTCCTTTAATCTGGATGGAGCTGTTCCATTAGAGTTTATTTTCCATCCAGATTTATAAACAAAAATGAATGAGTGTCTCGGATCAAAACTTGCATTTAGTAGGTATTCAGCTGTAACTCCTTGTGGTGAGATGAATGGCTAGTCTCCACAGTCCGCACTCTGCAGTGCACTAGAGGTGCCCTTTTTCGACCCATCAGCCCGCAATGAGTGGGTAGTGAAAACCCGCATGGGTTTAAGCGGGTTGCATCACCAGGATATGCAGTAAGATGTCCTGGAAAAATATGACTAGAAAGTGGAAAAGCTTTTTGGCTGCTATGCGGGTTGTTGTGGGCTGCTACCAATGAAGTTCCCCGTGCGGGCAGTTGTGAGTATCTATTAAGCCCATTGAGTAGACTCTAGAATGGCGCGAATCTGGATCTAAGGACATGTGATGCGTTAGCTTCTATAGTCTCTAAACCTGGAACTTCCGCATCAGATGTTAGAGACCGGTCTTGCACCCTAAACAATACCTAATCTAACTAAAACGGACTTTGGATATGCCATTCTATGTAATCTTATTGTGGCATTTTTCCTTGAAAATGAACAAAATCTATAAGTAAATTTCTTCATGTATGTAGGATGGCGATAGCTGATGGCTGTTTAGTGTTCCTGTCCTGCTGTTTTGTTGCCTTCTGCTGCAGAAAGAAGCACATAATGCATGATGCTGAAACGCATTGAACGAGTTCTCACAGGTCACCTCCAACTTCTCAGACCCCGGACCGAAAAATATATTGTTGAAACACTCTGGCAAAGTATTCTGTGGGTGACTAATGCCGTGAAGTTTAGTGACAGCGAGAGCTCCTTTCCACATTTGTTGTAGAAGTCCTGTCTTGTAGCATTTTCAAAAATGCTACAGAAATGTTTTGCAAAAATGACAGATGTCCAGGAATGTGTTGTGGAAATTCAGTTATTTTGGTAATGCTCTGAATGAAACATTGATTGTGTAAAGCAGTTACGATGAAGGCATGACCAGGGGCGTGAAGTCCTGCAATTATTTATTTGTAGGACCACAACTACCGCACTTCCCGCATATCCACCTACACTGTGCCACCTACCAACCATCACATTCATATTTGAGCGCGACAAGATTCGGCGTACAGTGCACCACTTTGAATGACAAAGCAAATGATTTTAGGAAAATCCGCCAAGCAGCTTTTCGTTTTCGGATGCTCAGCCATTGCATCTTATGTGCCTTCTGCTCTCGCATCATGTGACACTATAACTTTATTCCATGCTAAAGATCAGGCGTCAGGTCTGGAACTGTCCACTGACTGCCGTCCCGAGCCCCAGGTCACCGGCTGTGCCGCGCCGGTCAGTCGGCTGTTTGTGACCGCCGGCCGGGAGAGCGGCCTCCGGTGCCCTCCCCGCCCCTCGGGTCGGGTCCACGCGGCGCGGCGTCTCCCACTCCCAGGACGGGCCGACCCAGGACCCCGGCAAACAGCTCGCTGGCCGGACCGCGCGCCGCGTGTTTCTGGGTCGGAGGACCGCCGGTCTGGGGTGGTGCACTGTTTGCCCGACCGCGAGCCGAGATTAGAGGCTGAGCGGGTCGAAAACAGCCGCTCCCCCGCCGAGAGTTCAGGAGGGGAGGGGAGACCGGGGAAGGTGCGACCGCCGGGGGTTGTCCGATGGTCAGGTGCGCCTCCTGTCGGCCCCGACCCTAATCGGTATGCAGGGGAGGGAGCCGGGTTTACTCGTAGATGCGGTAGACTTCTCCGTGTTTGTAGGGTAGGGTCGAGGGGTCAGTTTAATGGGGGACCGCCGGTTGGGAACAATACCGGGAAGGGGGCCGTGGGAGCGAGCCCCCGTGAGGGGTGCAGTAGACCTGTTGTGCCCCCTTCTCCCCGTCCACACTACCGAATCGTCCGATGACCAGGCTGGACACTGGCGAGTTAAATGGACACATTGTGCTATCGATGAAAGGAGCGGTTCAATGGGGCAGTGAAAGTATAATGCAGCGAGTATCCAGATCGCCTGCTCTATTATAAAATCGGTCGGTTCTCACGCCAATCGAATTTCGATCCGTTTATGGTCACCTGTGGCCATTGTGGACCGGACCGAGCGAACTGGCCTGTAGTTTGACAGGTAGGTAGACAGGACTGGTCAGCGCCGAGCCTGTTTGCCACATTCCTTCATGGTTTATTTGAAACGGCGTGTGTGACCCAACGAACCATGGCGTGGCGTGGTTTTCTCACAATTGACGTATATGGGTCGATACGCTCTTAGTTTCATCGGTGTGCGTTTTGGCCCGTGTGACTTGACGCTAACCCAGGTGCTTCGTTCAGTGGTTGCTGGGCTATCTCAGGTCACATCCAGTGGCGATCCAACATTGCGGTGGGACTAGATTCTCGGCCCAGGGCATCAGCTGCCTACCCCTGAATGCTGGTGCCATTTGTTACATACTGTGACCCTAAGTGACCGTCGGCAGCCACAAGTGACACCCCCGTCTTCCTCCGCAGGTGACCAGCTGTGACCTGCTGTGACCTGCTGTGACCCGCGGTGACCTGTGATGACGCGGTGACCTGCCGACCGCCCGGGGAGGGGAGGAACCCGACTGAGACACAATGAGCGTGGCGGACAGCGATGGCGAGCCGCCGCTCTGGATCAAAACGTCGCCGCCGGACTCGCCGGCCGCCGACACGGAGGAAACGGCGGCTGAAGGTCAGTGACCCGACCCCCGGCCTCCTCAGTGACCTGACCTGTCCCTGACCCGGGGACTGCGTTTGAATGTCAGTGACCTGTCCTCTGACCCGGAGGGGACGGTGACTGAAGGTCAGTGACCTGTCCCGTGACCCAAAAATGGCGATAGAAGGTCACTGACCTGTCACTGACCCATGAGACTGCGGCTGAAGGCCAGTGACCTGCCTCCTGTTAAAGATCTCATTCTCGGTCCGGGAAATTTTGGATACGTTTGACTGGTTAGTGGTTTGGTTATTAGGCTCGGAAGATAAATTGTACAGTTTTCGCCGCCAACTTGTCGATAGGTGGACATAACGTCAAATTGAAACGAAGGAATGTTCTTTTTCTCCAAAAAAGACATTCACTCGATTGGGCTCTCCCGTCCCAATGTTTGTCAATCGACATTATGCCAAATCAGTCCATACCGTTTGAGTGTGTGAGTGTTGTGTGTGGTGTCACTCTAGTGTTTTAGTCAGTTGGCCGATCGCAGGTAAACTGATGCTATGCAATATAGGTACATGAGTGGAAGTTTGCTGTCGATAGTCATTCCCTGGTTACTGCTCCTGGCTTGTCGAGTTGTGAGCTATGTGTTGTGTGGGTGCAGCTTGTAGCTATATCGGCCAATTCCGCGAATAAGCTGTGTGGAGCCTGGTTCTCTGCCAGCGATGGGACGGTACGGTCAGGGAATGTAAAGTCGACCTTGTTAACCGTCGTCCTGAGCTCGAGTGGTCGACGTTAGGCATCGGAAAGTCGATGTCGCCCGCGTTTGAATTTCGGCGCTGGGGTGGAAGGGCGAAGGGCCGTCTGGTTTCTTTCGGGTGCGAGTCTGCCCCGAACCCTGGCGCGCCGACCGCACAAAGACGACACGTCCTGCCCTGTGTCGCCCCGTCGGCTCAATGGGTCTGCTCCGGCCGGGGACGGACGGACCGCCGGCGGACCAGGGACGGTCCCGCCGGTCCGCCGCCGGTCGTCGGCCGCTGCCCCGCCCTCGGGGCACAGCTGTCGGCCTCCACCGGAACCGGAGGCGCCGGCTGACCGCGCCTGGCCGCCGGCCCGGCCACTGGGCCGCCCTACTCACAGGGGGAGCACGGTTCATCGGCCGGCGCCATTATTCGCGCGGGCAGCTGGCCGCCCGCCGCCGCACGCCGCGCCGCGCGCCGCCGGCTTTGTGAGGGCACTGGGGCGGTCGGGGGACGGAGCGGCCCCAACGGCCGACGGCGGCGCTCCACAAAAACAGCCGCGGCGCCGGCGTGTCACCTGCACTGGCGGTCGCCGCACAGCTGGGCTGCCTGCCGCCGGGCCGGCGGAACTGGCCCTGGTCTGGCCGGGCCGCCGCCGGCGCTGGCACCGGACACAGCGGGATTAGAGGTCAACGGAGCTCTAGAGGGATACACGAGGGGTCACGGGATGATTGCAGGTCACCAGATCATGTTGGAGAACGAGGAAGGCGAGAAATGGATGACCGTGATGCGTGGGACCCGGTAGATTTGATTCCTGCTACCGCACAAGCGAACTGATAATGCGACATCCCTGACTGTGGTCCAACCCGCCATGAAGTCCGATGTTTCTGGTTCGTTACCCCAGTCTGAGCCGGCGTCTTCAGAAGTCAGGGTTTGTCTAGGCGGACCAAGTGATTTGACCTTGCGCGCTATCCTGAGCAGGCACCGCGTGGCAAGAGTTCTACAATGCGCCCAAGAAATGAATTCTTCTTCTTCTTCTCTCCTGTAATTCTCTGCTCTTTGAAGTCCTCTGCTGATCCCCCATTCCCGCGTTGGCTCGCTGGTCATCTGCCTTTGCTCGTTTCCCCGTCAGCCTGCCGGTCAGTGTGTGTGCCGGGCGCGGCGGTGCGCTGGCCCGCCGAGGCCGCCGGGCGGTCGGACGGTCGGACGGACGGCGCTGTCCGAGGTCACCCGGGCCGCCGCCGGAGTCCGCGCCGGCTGACCGGTCCGGCCGCGGGGCTGACAGGCCGCGGGGATGGTAACCGGCCGACCTCGGCCAGTCGGTCCTCGGACGTCCTGTCCTCAACCGTGTCCTTTCCTTCCACCGTTTCCCGCCCTCCGGGTGTGTCCACTCCTCTGCCTTACTGTGTCCTGTCTTAACTATTGTGACCTCCAGTGCCGTCTTCGCAGCTCCGAGACATGAATATTGAATAGAGCGCCAGGTCTTCTTATTCCGGTCAGATATCTTCCCATTTCTTTGAAACTCTGACTTCTGAAATCCCGGCGACCTTTCCTGACCTCTGACCTGCCGGTGCCGGCTGCCTGTCCGCCCCCGCAGGTCGAGTGACCTCTGATCCACTCTGATGTGTGGGATGCAAGTGCCGGTTTCTCTCTAATGCACTCCTCTGCAGCTGAGGAACTTGGCCGACTTCTGACCTTTGACCCCGCCTGGGTACGGTTTGATCACATTTGCAGAGCGCCGCGGCGGCTGCTAGTGCTTGTTATATGACCTCTCAGAGCGCCGTTTGACCTATCTGGGATGTGAGACATCTGTGACCTCTGTCGAGGAGAGCTCGGGAGCGGAATGGCGCCGTCTCTCTCTCTCTCTCTCTCTCTCTCTCTCTCTCTCTCTCTCTCTCTCTCTCTCTCTCTCTCTCTCTCTCTCTCTCTCTCTCTCTCTCTTTCCACTCCCACTCCGTCCTTCGGGGTGACTCTGGGCCTCTCTGACCGGGTGAGACCGGTCCCGCCGCCGGCGGCTGTCCTCTGTGACCGGCGGACGGCGGAGCAGTGCCGTGTCGGGTCAGCCCGCTGCCCGCCCGCCCGACCCCGCCGCGCCGACTGACGATGTGGGTCAGGGAGAGGTGGCGCGGTCGACCATGTGTGCCGCCGCCGAGCGGGGTCAGGTCAGACGGGGTCAGGTCAATGCACCGCTACCAGGCCGAGGTCAGATCCGGCTCAGGTCACCGAGTCATGGCTGGTGTTCGGGTGTGGTTGAGTCAGAGGTGGGACGCCTCCTTGTTAGTCATTTCACAGTCTTCCCCTCTTGAAATTGCATGCCATTCTGCATTCTGCATGCCATTCTGCTGCTCCTGGATGTGAGTGCTGCTCCTGCTCCTGAATGCTATCCGTGACAAGCGCATCGGGATTTTGAAATTTATGATCATTTTTTCAACTTCTTTCGCTATTTTTTTTACGTCCGGGGATACAATCAAGTTTACGTTACGCGAGAAAGCTCAGGAACCTGGGCTTCAAGCTCGACATGTTTGGTATTTTTAGAAATTATCACTGAGTCCACCACCAGCTGTCTGTTAGCGGGTACCGAGTCTGCACATTTACGCTGCTAACCCTGCAACGAGCGATCCGCTGGCTGTATCTACCCCGGCCACCGTATCGGTGTTACGTATGACCCCTGGCTGTGATCTGTGGATCTCGCTGTCCTGTTCGGTGACCCCCGTGACCACCGATCCACGCCCGGTGACCCGTCTCCCTCATCGTTGCTTCACCGCCTGCTATCAGCACCCTGTGAAGGACCTGGTTATCGGACGTCTGCCGCTCACGGCGTTATCTCGACTGGAATTCTGGCGCTGCGCGTCTCGGAGTTTGGACAGGGCCCGTCCTCGGCGGAGTTTGGACAGGGCCCGTCCTCGGCTGTCGTCCCTGACGCCCGCGGCTCTGACCGGTCTGACCAGTGACCGCTGGCGCTGACCGTTTCCGCGCGCCGCCCCGTCGCCCGCGGCGCTCGACGAAGGCCACCGCGCCGCCGCCGCCGCCGCCGGGCGGGCCGCGCGCGCCTCAGTCCGCGCCCAGCCGCCGCCGCAGGGAGAGGGTCGGACCGTCCGTCGCTCGGATTACTCCGGAGAGAGTGTGGGAGAGACGGAGGGACGATAGAGCAGAGAACGAGTGGTTGGACAGTGACTGCTGAGTGATCGGTGAATCTGTGAGCGGTGACGGACCTGAACCGGTGGCCGGACTGCCCTGAGGGCCCTCGTCGGTGACGGACCGAGCGCCGGTGGCGGCTGTACCCGGTATCTGTCTGCTGCCCTGCCGGCCCCCCGGGCCGCCGCTCCCGCGCCACGCTGGCCGCCTGTCTGCCCCTGGATATGACCCGGATGGCGACCGAGGTCTCCATCAAAGACGAGCCCCTCGACCTGGACACGCGTCACCGGCGCAGCGCCTCGCCGGACGCCGGCGACTCCGGCGGCGGTGAGCTGGGGACCGACCGCGACCCGCGCGCTTAGCGCCCGGGCACAGGGGTTTCTACCGGCACCGGAAGCGGGCGCTTCCGGTGCCCCGAGTGTACCGCTCTCTTACCGTACTGGCTTGGTGTTCCGATATATCGTTCTCGTGTACTGTCTTTCTCCCGCGCTCTTGTGGTTTATGTTCTGGTGTTCGGTCGTGTCCTTTAGGTCCCCTGGTCTGTGACGATATTCCTCTTGCAGAGAACAATGCCTCTCGACCTTGACCGCCGTAGATTACTCCCCCGCGGTGGGTACCCGTCCAAACGCTCTCCCAAGCCCTGAGGCGAGGTTCCTACGTAATGGCTGACCTCTAACGAGGGTAAAGGGGCCCCACTGGACACCTTTTCCCGCTGCCGCCGGCACTGACGTCCCACCTTCTCGTGACGTCACGGCGGAGGTGTTTGTGACGTCATCGTCCGACGTCACCGGGTCACCGGGCGAACTTTGAGGCGTCGAGGTGCGGCGAAATGTCAGCCTGGCCAAATGTCACATCGAGGTCGGCCGGCGGGGCGTATTCCGGCTAATAGATGGCCGATGAACTTTGTTCTAGGTGTCCCCGGATGAAGGTAATCCACACTACATGATACAACTGTCGGCCGCTTCATGAGGAGGCGGTGTCGGTAGGTATTTGTTTTGCCTCTAAACGATAAGGACCTGTTGCTGGCTGTTTTCATGCGTCGTTGACATTTCAGTGTCGGTTTGGTATTCGGGTCACGCCACCCCTAGGCGCATTATTAACACCGCCGGCCGTGTAGGGCAAAGGTTGAACCTTCCGCTCGTCCAGCTCGTTGAAGCTGCGATTTTC